GAACCTTTTTCGAATGTGTAAATAGTCTGAACAAACTCGAACAGCGCATCTCGTATTAATTTCGAGAATAATCTCATTGTCTGTTCAGTCTACGACGAAAAGACTCGGATCCGCTTTCCTGGGCATTGTCGCGCTAATGTTATTATCTCACCGCAAGACAGCAGGGAGATCGACCGTGGCTCCGTCAAACAAATTTACTACCTACAACTGTACAGTTACTAACGGCGAGCGGCGCGATATTAATATATGCACTATAAATGTGGGTAGGTACTTTATTACCGAATCTTTGCACTACGAGTAATATACCATCCCATAAACAAATAAGATTACCCGTAATTGACGAATGAATCAATTATTGTAACTAAGTAAGTAAGTAACTCTATAAAGGCGACGGAAGATGAATGCTAATTGGGTATCGTAGCATGTTTACCGTAGGTAGGAAATTATTTTAATTAGATATATAGACTAAGCGGGCAATAGCTTAGATATGCGAAAATATGGCGGGATACTCGATCTTAGTTAAAGCGCGTTTAAGTTCTAGATGATCTAACTTACTTAGTGGGAACGTTTATAAAGGACTGATATAGATACTAATTCTAGACCGTTGACACAAACAAAGGCGGGGGGTCAAAGGGACCCCAAAGGATAGACTGCTACTCTGCAGATCCGCCAGAAGGGAACCATACATATGTATGCTTAGCGCGCACTTTGACGGTGGGCCACATAGATTTATTGGCGGCTAATACTGAGAGCGTGAGTGGCGCATCATATCTTCGCGACTCACGCGCTGCCTAAACTGATATGCATGAGTACGTTACGGCTGCCGACAGGTGGGTAAAAGGGATGCTGGCCCGCAGACGCCTACCTTGATGGTCTTGAGAGCTGGTCGATCTGCTTGTCCAGGACCTAGGCGGGACCTGATCGCGAGCGGTCCTGGTCTCTCGTGGCTTCGGTGTGGCTTGGTGAAACAAATGCGTGCGCAGGGGGCTGTGCGCGGTATAACAGACAACTAGCTTGCCGGCGCACGGCGACGGATTTAACCCTCAGCGGACAATGCGGTAGCGTGATCCGAAGACACTCGAACCCGGCGCGATGTTATACCAATCATTTTGGTTTTATTAAAGTAATAGTGAGTATGCGGTCAGCGGCCGAGAAAAATAACGGCGGTAGCGGAGAGAAAACATACGTGACGGATGTGCCTCGCCGTCATCAGACGTCACCGACCTGTGTTCTTTTAGCGGCGTGCGTGCGGGATGGTCAGATATATGCATCAAGGGGCTTGATACGTGCCGACAGCCTCACCTAGCGGGAATTAAACTAAAACTTAAGAGTTTCCTTTCTCTATGGACAGGTGAGCGTTTACCAATATGTAATGTAGGCTCTCTAATAATGCTGTCTAACACCGTTCAGGGTTACAATATAAGACTTGAGTGCATTCTGTGTAGTGTGCGCGACGTGTGTGTTGTAGCTAAAATTTAATTTTATTTATCGTATTGGCTGCTAACTAAAAATCTTACGCTTCGTCAACCGACCTTTTCATCGGCTTACCTTGGTCCCTATACGTTAGCTAACGCGTCGATGCATATAATACCGTTTAGAAGCCCACCGTAATAAGCTTTACTAAAATACGAACACACATCAAAATACATTTTCTCTCGCAAAGAGAGAAAAGAATACTCAACTCAGACCTAAAGAGATCCTGTTAATATTTATCCCGTAGTCAAAGGATACCCATGGCCATGTAATGGTACAATCCATCGGTTTATCTCGTTTCACATGAAATTTGACAATGATCGATAGCTCTTTAAACTTGGATAACCCGTGAAAAACAGTAATTGCACAAAGCGAGCATATAGCCTGTATTTATAATTGGATACTACAGAAATATAGTATGTTTTGGATGTTTCACTTTTATGCTTGTGTAAAGATTCAAAATTCTAACTTGCTATTGTTCACGATAGTAAGTATGTTTTTCCTTAGAAAACCTAATTCGGCGAATAGTTTTGTAATCTCCATAGATAAAGATGTCTAATAAGAAAAAGAATGTCCTTATTTATCTTCTAACTAGCTTTTGCCCCGGCTCCGCCCGCTAGTATGTCAAAAAACTCACACTATTTCCATACAATACCAAAATTTGCATCATCATTTCGTTTACAGGCGGTTCTTGATATCCCCATACAAACTTCCACCCCCTTTTACATCCCCTTAAAGGACATTTTCTGGTCGATAAAAACTATCCCATGTCCTTTCCGAGACTTAAACTATCTCTATACTAATTTCATCCAAATAGTTTTCAGACTGTTTAACACGTGAAGAGTAACAGACAGACCGCATAACAAACAACAGACAGATGCACTTTCCATTTATAATATTGCCAGATAGGTTTTCCATCTTCAATAAAAATTAATTACACACACTCTTTACCATAGAGCTAACAAAATGTTAATCTAATTAATCTCCAACTGATTCAGAAACGTCTCTTTGCCTACTTGTCTGATTTATGGACAAATGTCAAAACATCAGCATTTTTGAGTACTCTTTTCTCATGACAATATTTAATTCATTATATTTTAAGCTACACATTTTAGTATATCTTATCTTGTGAATAATGGCGACGGGCAGACCAAGCAACGAATACCCACGATTGTGATGGCTGGACAGGAAAGCTATTGCCTTTTTGATACTTTCGAACTGACTTAAGACTCATCATCGCTGAGCTTACCTGATCTAACGAAACATTGAGAGGCACTCACTTCATCAAGGACTATTGCTGCCAAAAATTTGTGATACAGGTACGAAACCCTCTATAGAAATTACCTAATTCAAGAAGAAACCGCGCAAGCCTGATTTCATACCATACATGTTAATGGCAACAGGCTGCTAGGTCTTTCTAAACATCAAACGGGGTTTATCTTTTACATATTTTGTGAACGAGCATCAGCATGATAACAACTTTATGTTGTCGCTACCTGCTTGTCCTTTATACAATCACCCCATATTCATCTTACATATACGAAAGCTATGGAAGAACGTCCGATTTTTCAGCCCACCTTGCACACCGCTATCCTCCGATATTATTTGATGGCACACCGGACGTGATCCACTAAGACTACGACTATGTTTAAAGCTTTATTGACAGACTTGGACGGGCTATTATGCTAAGGTCCACATTACATAAGATTTGCTAGGTACCATCTATGTAGCGCACCAGTTTCAAGATTACTGGTTAGTAATGAAAATTCTTTATACTACAGATAGAACGCTAATTTTCACCAAGTGACGTACAGGTAGTCCGTCCATGCGTGAACTGTTCATTTTGTGCTAGGACAGCCCAATGCATTTTTATTTGTGAAATTTAACCCACAATTTATTTTTCTTAATTACAAACATCCTATATCGTAGGTAACCTTTTGTTACTTTGCCCCCATAAATCGCTCCTATAGTTTGCTTGAGTGCGGCACTCTCCTGGGCGGCGGTAGTCACTTACTATCAGATACTGGCCGTCTGGTGGGTTTGCGAACCAGCAATCTTGAAATTAGCATGCGTATTATTGTAAATACGAGGTGTCCCATCTGTGTTACCGACCGAGTTTTTCGTTCATATTTAATTTTTAAGATAACAGCTTAACAAACTTCCGATAAGGATTATTTCTGATCCGTGCGAGACCTATAATCTTCAAGACTCGGACACACAAGAAAAACTCAGACTCAGGATACTGTTTTCATAATAAAAAATCGTTTTTATCATACCATCCTGCTAAAAAATCTTCGAGCAAAGGTGATAACTACGTTTCCGAAAAGGATTTAAACGCCCGTCGACAAGTATGCGAAGCATTGTGTGCTCCAAAAGCCAAAGCGTATGTGATTGGTCAGTGAGGGAGCAGATTCTAGAAGATAATTACTACTAGGGCTCGCTGTGCGAGTACAAACAACGAGCCAACAGGGTCGGACTTTTGCAAGTTAGTTATTTTCGTAGTTGCACAAACCTAGCAGTCAATTTTTTTCAACTTGGTCCCTTATGTAGAACTCTCGTGCATAATATACTTTTAGAACCCACCGTATAATCTTTACTAAAATACGAACAAGACAACAAAAATACATTTTCTATTGCAAAGAGAATACTCAATCAGAACATAAAGAGATATGTTTTAATATTTATCCCGTAGTAAAAGGATACCCGAATGGCAATGTAAATGTTACATCAATCGTGTTCTCGTTTCACATGAAATATTGACAATGCTGGAAGCTCTTTAAAACGTGGTACCCGTGAAAAACAGTAATTGCAAAAGCGAGCATTAGCCAGTATTTATATTTATAGAAGTAAAATAAGTATGTTGTGGATGTTCACTTTTATGTTGAAGATTCAAAAATTCTACTTGGCTATTGTTCACGATAGTAAGTATGTTTTTCTTTGAAAACCATAATTGGGGTATATTTTGTAATCTCCATAGATAAAATGTTAATAATTATAGAATGTCCTTATTTATTTCTAACTAGCTTTTGCCCACGGCTCCGCCCGCTAGTATGTCAAAACTCAAACTATTTCCATACCAAAATTTCATCTCATTTAGTTCAGCGGTTATTGATTCCCCATACAAACTTCCACCCCCCTTTTCATCCCCTTAAAGGACAATTTCTGGGATAAAAACTATCCCATGTCCTTTCCCGAGACTTAAACTATCTCTATACTAAATTTCATCCAAATAGGTTCAGCGGTTTAAACGTGAAGAGGTAACAGACAGACAGATAGACAAACCAACAGACAGACAAACTTTCGCATTTATAATATTAGTACAGATAGGTTTTGCATTTTCAATAAAAATAATTACACTCTTTACCATAGACTAACAAAATGTATTTTAAATCTCCAACGTTAGAAACTCTTTGCTTACATTGTCTGTTATGGCAAATGTCAAAACATCAGCATTTTTGAAGTATTTTATCATGAAATTTTAATTATTTATATTTTAAGCTACATTTTTAGTATATTTTATTGCAATCATGGCGATGGCAGAAAAGAAAAACGAATACCCAGCGAGTGTGGAGGCGGACAGAAAGCTATTGCCTTTTGATACTTGGGAAGACTACTTAGACTCTCTCATCGAGCTTACTGATCTAAGAAACTTGAGAAGCATCACTTCAGCAAGGACTATTGCTGCCTTTGGATACAGGTACAGAAAACCCTCTATAGAAGTTTATTCAAGAAGATACCGTAGAAGCTGATTTCATACCATAATGTTTAATGGCAAAGTCTGCGTAGGTCTTCTAAACATAAAACGGGGTTTTCTTTTAAATATTATTGTGAAGGCAAATAAGCATAGATACAACTTTATGTTGTCGCTACCTGCTTGTCCATTTATACACCACCACATATTCATTTACATATACGAGAAGCTATGGAAGAACGTCCGATTTTCAGCCCACCTTGCACTTCACCGCTATCTCCGATTTATTTGATGTCACATGGAGTGATCAATAAGAACGACGATGTTTTAAAGCTATTTTGGAGCTTGGACGGGCTTTATGCTAATTCCACATTACATAAGATTTTGCTAGGTCACATCTATGTAGCAACCATTTTAAAGATTACTGTTAGTAAATGAAAAGTCTTTATACTACAGATAAACGCTAATTTCCCAAGTGACGTAGACAGGTATGTCAGTCATTGCGATGAATGTTCACTTTGTGCTAGGACAACAATGAATTTTTTATTTGTAAATTTAAACCACAATTTTTTTTTTAATTACAAATCTTATCGTAGGTAACCTTTTTTATTTGCCCACAAAATCGCTCTTATGTTTCTTGAGTTGCGGTCTCATGGGCGGCGGTAGTCACTTACTATCAGATGACCCGTCTGGTGGTTTGCGAACCAGCAAATCCTTTGAATTAGCAATGCGTTTATTGTAAAATAGAGGTCCCCTCTGTGTTACCGACCGAGTTTTGTTCATTTTATTTTTAAAGATACAACTTCCGAATAAGGATTATTTCTGAATCCTGCGGAGACCTTATAAATCTTCAAAGGACGGACACAAAGAAAACTCAGACTCAGGATAACTGTTTGCATAATAAAAATAGTTATAATACAATACTGCTAAAAAATTTCAGAGCAAATGGTGATACTCTTTCCGAAAAGGAGTTTTACGCCCGTCGACAAGTAATCGAAAGCATTGTGTTTCCAAAAGCCAAAGCGTATGTGTTGGTCAGTGAGGGAGCAGATCTAGAAGATAATTTTACTAGGGAGCTCGCTGTGCGAGAACGAGCCAACAGGGTCGGAATTTTGCAAGTTAGTATATTACCGTGATTGGTATAGTAACAACTGCACTCACCGTTAAGAAAAAAAAAACTTGTTCTTGTTAAATTTGCTGCTCGCTCTCCATATAAAATTGCATGACAAATTTATAATCAGTGTATTAAATTAAATATAAACGTGGTCATAGGTGGGCAGAGGCGAATTATATTTAGATTAACTATTAATTATAAGTGTAAAGTTTAATTGATAAGCATCTGTGAACAAGTCAAGTCCTCTTTTGCAACAAACTTCATCAGTACAGATGCCAAAGAAAAACTCAACTAACAACGGAGAATATACTATTCTCATTACTAATTAGCTTAAAAGTATAAATGTCTTACATTTATCTAGCAAACTCTTTTGAAGCAGTTGTTTGAAAATAACGAGAACCTCTTAGTCTCTTTCTCTCTCTCCATGAACTTGTTGAGAAGTTGTCGACAAATTTAAGAATCATCGTTGTGTAGTTCAACTACAAAATGTGGACGAAAATCGAATTAATTTTGTTCGACAGGATATTAAGATGTATTTTTTAAAATCGTTAGCAGATTATTTAAGGAATTTAAAGAAAAGAAAAAAATCCCTTATTTAAAAATATTGTTTTGTTTTTAGTCCATTGTCTTCATCCGACACTTCACGAAAGGAGGATTCGAAATATCTGGTTACATAGACTACGCTCACCGACTGTTAACTGAGAACTGGGGATCATTTTTTAGAGGCAAAAAGATGTTGTGGCCGAAGGAAAATGACCTTGGTTACTATCATTGGCGGCATGGCACCGTGAGGAGTAATATAAGCAGAAATTATAAGGTTATAAGCATATACATATAATTATAAGCTTTAGAAATACAACAGCGGATACAATCTTTCTTCCAAAACGCATAAATCTTGAAAAAGTACACATACACTATAGCTTCAATATACCAGATTTTTATTTATTAGAATTGACTTCTATTAAATTACAGCATTTAAGTATTACTAAGCTTTAATCTAAAATAGGTCAAAATATTGTTAAATACCTTAAAATGTTCTGTCAAACAGACTTTCATATTGATGACATGACGATGCTTATACTCCATGTACATGTACGCATACTTTGGCTGTATTATCGGGTTTTATGGGCACCAAAATATCCTAGATACGCTTCCAAAAGAACTTGTCAATAGAGATTATACCACTTAGATTAGATAAGGTAGTAGTGTGCCTTTGAAGAATATTTCAGGCACTAAGCTTGATATAGGAACTCTCGTAGTAATACAAGAAGGGCATGATGACGAAGGTTATATCTTTGCCTTGCCAAATCTTTTGATCCCAAAATTGGGGATTTTTTTTTCGCCAAAGTCTTTATGCTGCTTGATTTGATAATTAACGTAGTAAATTCTAATTATAGCTTGTATCTCTGTTCATCCGTATAAAAGGTTGTCATGCTGTTTCCAAGTTTGGTAGAAAATAATAGGATCTAAAGTTAGATAGTGGCACTTTGCCAAGTTCTTCAACGATCTTAAGTTTCATCTTTCGTTACTTAACTTCAGAGCTCGACATTATTTGTTCATAGAATATTGTGCAGTAGTACTTGTCCAGAGCTGTTGTAGGAGATCCGAAATAATCCTACGGTTATTTTTAATCTTCTCATGTGAGTATTTATTTTGATCGGTAGGGAACTGGCAATTATAGCCCTGTTTTACCATGATCTACAACCTAAAAGTTTAATTAGAATTTCGATTGTCAATTTTTAAATCCTAAATTTGGAATAACGTATTGTTTTTTTTTACTTTCCAATATAAATTTTTGCCCACTTTAGTAAAACTATGTAATAAAAATATTGACTAGTACTTAAAATATTGACAACTGTAACTTTTGTAAAAGTTACACCTTTTGAATTATTATAAAGTTTAATTGTTTGAAATGTACAGATAAGCATTTGTAACAATTGGGGTAACGATTTTTTTTTTAGTGGTTGATTCTGAGATTTAATGGTTAAGGTAAATAAAATTAGAAAATGATTTAATGTACTTTAGTATAGTCTGTGCAGCGGAAGTAACTAATTTTATATATATATATTGAAACCAAAAACCATGTACAATTTATACTTTTGAAATATTTTACTATAAACTGCCTTGTTACGTCATCTTTACCATCACTCTTCGTTGCAGCGAAAGTTAGATTATGAATGTTATCCTTTCGAATAAAACTAAATGATATCTTCAAAATGGGTATATTATATACTCTTACATCAATTGCGACCAAAATGAGCCATTCATTTTTATGTCGCATCATTGTAAATGTACTTACTTAAATTTTATGAAATCAACTCTTTGCTGAATTTTGGGGTTTTTTGATACTATTCTGTTACCAGCTTTTCTATTTCTGGATAAAAGATATTCTATGTCACTATCTATAAAGCTGATATGCGAAATTTCGTAACTATTAAAAGAGTAAATTTCTATTTGAATTTATAATTTGAAGTCAATCTTTTTTTTTATGCCATAGGGGGCAAACGAGCAGACGGCTCACCTGATGGTAAGCAACTAACGCCGCCCATGGAGTCACCTACAACTCAAAAGTCACAAGTGCGTTGCCGCCCATGGAGTCCCTCCCGCTCGAGTCAGCGGGAGGGGGGAATTTGGGCTCCGGTGACCTCACTCGCTCAGTGAAAGGCAACGAAAGAATTGCTTAACACCGGTTATTTCCTTGAAGATACGTAAATCAAGTTTTGACAATAACTAAATGCCGTCTGACATTATGTTTATAATATTTTAAATTTCTTCTCTAAGTGAATAGTGATTACCTTAAGTACCTATACTGCTTGTTTACCTATCTATAATAATATAGAAGTGTAGAAAACAGGAAATAGGTAAACCGTTGCTTATTTAAAAATAAACTTAAAATGTAATATAATATTAAGCCAGAAAGTTACTAGGTACAGTTGTGTAAACATGGATTTTTAGGTACTAAAGACGATAAGTTTGTCGGTTCAGGTCGTTTTGGCATGAACACGATACAGACAGGCGCGCGTCCAGACCGGTCTGACAAAATAACTGAAAATGCTAAAAATGCGGGGTTAAGGGATTAAGGATTATTTTGGTTGCCTACTTCAGTAAGACTGGCTTTTCTTCCTTGCATTATAAGATCAACGTTGATATTTCAAGATATTGAAATAATTGACTTAAAACAGTAACGACAAATCACGACTGTCTGTTATAATATTAAGTGTTGGGACGTGCGTTATCAATGCCTAATAATAAATCTGTAATTATCAAACTGAGTAACTTTTTACCCATAAAATATAACACTGTCGCAAGTTTTCTTATTTATTAACTTTATTATCAACGGGTATTAAGCACCTTTAAATTATGGTATGAAAACACAATGAAATAAAACTAAATAAAATTATAAGATGATACAATTTAGATATGTAAGTTCTTACTACATGATGAGCATATTTGGGCATCTAGGCAGTTCCCGTGTGACAATGCTCAACCTAAGTTACTTACCAACATTTTATATCAAAAAGTATTTTTAATCATTATATGGGATTCCAGTTATTCTGGGCCTATTTTACAGACACTGATCAACATCATAAAATACCTTATAAAATTGGCATTTTAAAAACGACTTAATAAAGCTAGGAACCATCGATCAAAGTTTGTATTACAGACAGAAACAGTTAGTCATCATAATGTTTTTGAAAAGTGGTGTTTTAAAAAGTTTTTATCAATCAATATTATTCCCGAGTCGAGTGGAGATTCGAGTAGGGTAATGAATTCAATAGAGCATTTTATTTATTCAAACTACCGTGGTTAATTCCGTTAATTTGTAGTTATTAGAAACGCAGGTTTCAGTTATTCGTTAATCCGTGATCATAGTGGTTGTAGCAATCACAAAACATTGAAAACTATTTCCCGAAAATAAACATTGTAAATTGCCTATATTAAAAAACTTATTAATCTAATATTAAAGAATAATAGTGTAACAGTTTTAGTAATTGTTACTTTCTTCTCCAGCCAGTAATGGACCCAGAGAAAGGATTGATATTCCAGAATCGACACGACCATAAGATCATATGTCCGGACCCACAACAAGACCCAGGACAGAACACTACAAAACAGAGAATATACTCAAAAAAATACACCCAGATTGAAATATACGACCATGTAGTTAGAAGAAGAAGCTGAGTATGCTAAATTAGCAACTATTCCACGCCAACTTTTATAGTTATCTATTTCCGTATATGATGAATTTTAATATACACGCTTGATATAAGGCTGACTACATAAACTATGTCGATAAAATGCAATATGGAAGACATAATTAAGAAAATATGTTTCCCTATGACAACAACGATATTTATAAGAGAAATTATAATAAATCATGTAAATCTGGCAAATTTCTATGTATTTGTAATAAAGAATTGATTAAAATCATTAAATATTTTACATAAATATCATCAATTCCGTTCTTTCTATAATCTACAACTACCCTACTATTATCCTTTGAACGACTTGCGTGCTGGAATCATGGTTTCAAGGCAAGTTTGGAAGCATGATTCACACACTAGTAAGATATTTACCGTCTGTATAGTTGCTCATATACACTTAGACTGATTTTTAAAGATGCCGAGTAAAACTAAAGCAGCTACTGCCGTGTAACATAGAATTATTATAAATGTTAGAGCACGCCTTTCTACATGAATGTTATTTTTCTGATCTTTGAGATACTTAACGACGAAATGACTAACTTTTTTTTGTAAACAGCACTACATATATAACCAATTGTTTAAAGTCGATGGTATATCAGAATCATTTATTTATTAAACACAGATAACCATTTTAAAGGTCTTAAACAGACAGTCCACCTTGATGTTAAAACGCTCAAATTTAACATAATAATATAAATTGGGTGGGGTTTGAACCCACAACTGCTTGATCACAAATCCAACGTCTTAGTCCAAAGACCTAAAAGGAATGAAATCAAATTACAGAAATAACCAGATCAGTAAGACATACAAATTTTAAAATTGAGTGTAATTTTAAATGTATGTATTACACAATTAGGACGTTATTAACACTGGAGGTAAGGTAATACAATCTTATAACTAATATAACTCCTAAGAGAAATATTCAGTTTATAAAACTATTTATGGGATATTTCGTAATTAAGTTGATTTTTCTCAATCAGGAACACAAGAAATCACTACCGTGATATTTGTTTGCCGTTAAGGTATGATTCGTCTTATTACACTAAACAACGATTTTTCTGTTCTACCTTAATAAAAACAGTCTGATATTTTTTTGCAATTTGCATGTAAGTCCACCTTAAAATTGAAAAGGCGTAACATAAAAAAAAGAAAATTGTATATTATGTAACTATATTATATAACATTATAATTAACTTTCTTACATGATAAAGTTTGAGAAATCCTTGATTTGTGACACAATCCTAACAAGTGCGTCTGATCTTTATTTTTATTGACAAACCTGATGTCTATTAACACTTATTGCAGTAGACAGTTGCGGAGATGGCGACAGCTGACGACATATCTATAAACATGACATGTCCTTATAAAGACTTTGGCGATCAAAATTGGACTTTAATGAGATCGAAAGTTTGTGTTGATGAGAATAGGCCATCTGATGCGCGTTTCTAAAGAAATGTGTTCTTAAAGCTATGTTTTAAGCATCATATCCATCAACGCAGTGACTCCAATCTGGTTCTCTTTGCCGTTTCTCTAGAAGCGCTATGGACTTCTGCTGTACGGAATGTTACACCGTAGATGTCTTGATGGTATCTGTTCTCGTTCTAAAACAAAAAAACAGATTTTAATATCCTTATGACTAAATTCGTCTTTTGTGTTCTTTATCTGAGTGTCCTTTGTGTTTTACTTTTAGTCATTGATGCGACAAGATGCCACCGTTTCTACATTAAAAACTACAGTTTATTTAGTAGTGATTAAGTTTTCCAAAAAATAATTTATTTTACACAATCTGTAAATAGCAATAAAGAAGTAATGTTTTTTACGTAACGTACCAAAAAGTTTATAAGAGTTAATGTGTAAGCATGTTTGTACGTATGCGAGTCTCTTTATTCTATTTCTAAATGCTTGCACAAAGAATAGAAAACCCTTGGGGTACTCAGAAATCTTTAAAAAAAATACAGATTACTCCTAAATGTTATTTTTTATTATTTCTATTTCCATGTGTTCTTAATTTTTTAATTAGTAAGTTATAACACCTTCACCTTCCCAAAATGCACTTCTTTTATACTAAGTACTAGATTTTTATGATTTCTAATAGTTTTCATAACATTACAAACAATTATTCCTATTCTTTTTTTTTAAGGTCTCACTTTCACGATGCCTTACAAGCTTAACAATGTAAAGTCATTGAATGAATCCTAACAACAAAAGCATTAAAATACTTACCACCATTTCAATGAGAAAGTCTTCTACTTCTTCGTCTGTCATACCAGCATGTTTAATGAATATTTCTTTTAATTTTGATCTTACATCATCCGCCATTTTGATATCACCACATACGTAAAAATGGCCTTCTTCTTCTGTCAGCATTCGACATAAGTCTTTCGCATCATCCTCTAAATATGCTTGTACGTATTTCTAAAAGAACATCAAAACTTACATTGTTTTACACAACTGATACATGTTGACAATTACATATATTTAGTGATTTTTTATTGTTCATAACATTCGGAAAAAAATTACACTTACAACAATAGGCATTTAGTAAAGGGCATCAGTTGGTTGTAAATGTGAAATGTCTGTCCTTGATTATCCGTGTAAAACGAGTTTTTACAACGATAAAATCTAGTTAGACCAATTTTCAACCCCGAATACTCAAATAATGCAAATTTTATTTAAATCTTTAAATCCTTTTCGACCGATATCTCCGTTACTATAGAATTGAGTTTTGAGAGGGAGGCTACTAGACGAATCATTATTTAAATGTTACAAAACATTCTAACACTTACTTTTTCTACACCGGCTTCTCTTGACATAGCAAGTCTTGCTTTATGAATCACTTTTTCTTCCACAACTTTTTCTTTCTCCTCTTTGTATAAATCCATGTCCTTATATTTACACCCAAAGTATAGCCATGCTGGGCCGGCATTTTGTTTAGAATGTTGAATAAGATGCCTTCTGTGATGCCAAAACCCTCTAAATGGTGCTATACCGGTACCGGGTCCGACCATAATTATGGGCGCTGAGATTGATTCCGGCATGTGGAATGTTGGTGCCCTGTTGTTAAATAAATCATTTTGTTGATTACAGTTCAATAGGGACACAGCATAAATAAGGTCAGGTTCCTATTTCTGGTTTGGTAGTATCGCTTTTGACCCACCGTACCACCTATGGTATGGCTTTGAGGTATTGCGGGTCCGTCACGTAATAGGTGGATTAGGAGATTCTGCAAAATATTATTTATGGTCTCGGAATCAACCAATGGGTTCTAATAATTCTATAAAACTCAAAACAAAATTTGGTAGGGGCTTCAGCAAACAATGCAAAATAGATTATTTGTATATAATAATATAATGACTTCATCAATAGCTTTTAATTGTCCACTGCTGCACATAGGCCTCTCCTTAGAAAGGATGGTTTGGCCTACTATACCACGCTGGCCAGACGAATTGGTATAGGGTTTGTTTCAAGTTTTCCTTCTCTTTGCAGTGCTGTTGTCGTGCGTAGTTTGCTCCCTCAGTCGGCTCTTACGACACCTACGGGATAAATAGAAGTACTGACCGTCCGTACCCTAAATCCTTAACGACATGGACAGGACCGGACATACTGACTTACCTTCTCATGAATCCTATTACTTCATCACCGGGCTTCAGATTTTGTAAATAGGTTGAGCAAACGCCTTGCCGCAGTGGGCCATTGCCATCTGAAAGTTCAATATTCGTTAAAGATTTATGATTTTAATAATAATTCTTATAGTTAACTAATACGGATACGGAAAGGTAACGTTGTTAGCAGCATTTTTCTATATTAACCTGATTAAAAAATAGTGTTTCAAACCAATGCACTCTTAATATTTGACCTGATGATTCTAAAAATATTTGTAAGTGTCTGTATATTTTGGTATCATTTTAATGTTTTTCCTATGGTAGACATAACTTAAACTCGCTCTCAAATAAATTTTAAGATATTCAAGATACAGTTGAAAGACGTATTATATGATTTACATTAAAATTTACAAATTTTAATAAACAAATACGTAGGAAATTTGATCCACATTATTAATACTACTTACTTTGCGTTCTAAAAACTACAACTGCAACAGTTAAATGAACATTATCCCGATGCACCAAAGGTGAAGATGATATTGAATATCGCCTTGGCTGCAGTGGAGGCAGTGACGCAGCTAACATAGATCCTTTGGGCTTGCATGATGGAAACTGTTCCAGAACATCGGCTATATTCGGGTGGTTGAAATAACTCCAGTCGTCATACTTATTTGAATCCTAAAAGTGTATAACTGTTTTAATTCTGGTATTTCTATTTTTATTTGCGGATTTTACATAACAAAGACCTTTGGTGTTTTACAGTGCGGATTGCTTATAGGACATGCTAGTTGGCTTAAGGCAATTTATATAATCAGGCAAATATTTGTCGGAACATAGTTTATGCGTTACTGTATACTGTAAGGTGTAATGCCCGTCAAATAATGTACTTAAACGGTGAAAAGTGTATTCTTTACTTTGTTTAAGTAACATAAGCATAAAATTATTCTTTACCGCAATTAATTCCCTAATCTTTTCAGCTTCATTGCTATCCGTACACGCACTAGCCAGGTACTTCAACACCGGTATTTTCGGAGGGCTTGTAATGTCCACAAATCTAGTAAAAATGTCACGAACGGATACTGGTGGCAGGTGATCGTGGTTCACCCAGGACTTTGCGATACCTAAAACAAATACACAAATATAAATATTCTCCAATCTTATAACACGATTATATTCGATGGCCAGTCTACCTTTGAGCGATACAAAGATAAATCTATAAGATATATGTCACGTGAATATCAGGAATAAATCCTAGACTTCAATCATCATACTGCAGTTCTAAGTGCCAGATAGCAATTAAAAATCTAGATGGATTTCTTTTAGAAAATAGTTCGGGTAGTTTACCTGTCGCTGTCAGTTTTTCCACTTGCACTTGAAGTTGTACTTGTTTGTCGTAATTGTCAGCATCTGTGATGCGACTTAGTATGACATCTACATCATTTCTAGGATTACAGGGTAGTATTGCAATGTGATCACCAGGGTCGTACTTTGAATGCTGTTAAAAAAATATATTCAGTGTAATTTGGATTTTAAATTTCAAACATTAAAATCAATCTATACAAATAAATAAAATTGGAGTGACTGTTTGTAATATTAAAATAACCGCTTTTTACTAAATGCATATGTATTTTTTCAATTTTTGTCTGTCTGTCTATTTGTTCCGGGTAATCTCTGGAACGGCTGGACCGAATTCGACGGGACTTTCACTGGCAGATAGCTGATGACATAAGGAGTAACTTAGGCTATATTTTTAAGACTACTGTCTAAATAGATTTTTAAATACATAAGCTTAAAAAGTGTTTATAAAAAAAAGGGCTTAGTGTCGAGAAAGCAAAGCTTTTTTAAATGTCTATTTTTTAATTAAGTTTAAATCATTATATTGTGGTTGTTAATTATTATTATAACTGAAGTGATCACATTTCTTACTTCTGATTTCAGGTTGACAAAAATGGTAGCGCTTTTCGTTGCTTCGTGTTTTCCCAAATATTTAACTTCTTCTACTTTTAATGATAACATCTGTTTTCTGTAAGCAGATTCTAAACCTTGTCGTAAAGTCAACTGTTCGCAATCATTCCGGTTTGGCAAACCAAATCGAACCGTTTCTGGTGTAAGAGAAATTGTGTCAAAAGCATTTTGTGCGTCTTTCATCATGTCATTCTCGTCTAAGCAAAACGTTTCGCATGAAACCTGTAATAAAGAGTGGTTACCGCATTAGTTACTATGTTAGAACTCCAAATATTTCTGTAACACGCACAGTCTGCTAGAAAGAACATACTTGGAAAATGTCTGAAGACCATTTACGGAATGCTTGTTCTTGCCCACACAATTCATCTCCACGAGCCACAGGTAGTAGTCGTTCCGCACCCAATTCGTCTAGTATGTTGTCAATATTGACTGCAAAATTGCAGAATTTTGGATATGCGCTTGAACCCAGACCAAATACAGCAAATCGAACATTACTTAATGCCGATATTTGATCTGATGATGTTGGAATACTGCCTGAAACAAAATGGAGCTATTTATTGACAGAATTCATATTTATACTCCTTAATACACTTAAGAGCAACGAAGTGGGTCGTATTGTGAATGACGTTGTTTTTGATCGTCAATAGAGCTCGGATAATGAGACAAGAAAAGTTCCCAAATTCAGTTTCAAAAACTTAATATTTACTTTCAAGAAAACAAAGAGCGTTCTCCAACATGGTATAAAATATTTTACAGCATTTCAAACCATATAACTACAGAAATGTTAGTTTTTTTTTCCAATATAAAACAGTGATAAGTTTTTTTTTTAATAGAGAAGTATTTAACTATCAATTGAATACCATTTTCTAAGCTTTTCACTTCTCTAAGTTTATTCAATTTAACGTGTCCGAGATTTTCAAACAACTTTAGGGACCCAGAATCATGGCCCTTGAGTGTAGTAATCATGTAATAATAATTATTACTTTTGTCAGAGATTCGAGAAAGTTGTCTTTGTATACTTTGCTTGCTTGTTTGCCTACTGTACTCCATACTAGCTGCCAAGACGCTGTTAGTCCGAAATAGAGCTCTCAGTGTCGGGGTTTTGAAGCTCCTGCAATAAAATAAAAATAGTTAAGTTAAACTTTCTTCAGCGGAAGTAAAACCTAAACTGATCGACTATGTGTTTTGACATAATAATATATCTGTTATCATTCTTGTATATCTGTATAAATGTATATAATCCCAATCTCGGAAACGGCTTCAACGATTTTCATGAAATTTTGTTTCATGGGGGATGAATCGATCTAGCTAGGTTTCATTTTTAGAAAATGTACCAAAAAAAAAATTGTGAGCAAAGCTCGGTCATCCAGGTCATCACTTATCATTATAAAAGGCTATATACGTAAAATACTTTACACAGACGACTTTAAAACCTTTTTCCTACTGCAAAGGGTTGAAAGTTTAACTACTGTCTTGTTTGTAACTTACGTCGCGCTTTGATCCGTTCTCTCATCTTCTTTATTCTCTTTTTCATTCCTTAACATTACAAATAGGTGTTCCATGAAGTCCTGTGAATAAAACAGGGTTTATTAAAAAGAAGAAATCAATAAATAAGAGGACACTTAGTTTATATAAACATGTGTGACCAATACGTATTTAATTTAACCCCTAAAATAATATTAACGCTTGAAGCATCATTTCACAACACACTTTATTCTGAAATAGGAACATTTTAGTATCATAATTATGATTAGGCATAAAACAGAAACCTTACAGAAAGCTGGTGTTAGACTGTAAAATTCTTTCATTGCTTGCATTGAAGGAGTGAGGTAGCCGGAGCCCCTAATTATGGGACACCCTATGTGTATATCCAATGCTGACTAAAGGATGTATCTTTTATTTTATTTTCCTACAGATGATTTCAGAATCTTTTTCCTACTGCAAAAGGGTTGAAAATTAACTACTGTCTTGCTTGTAATGTTTGAGGGTCTTAGTTTCTAGCGTGTGGTCTTATGTGGTTTACGTACCCTATCTTAGGATTGAAAGTACGTGCACAGTGGGAACATTTTAGTAATTAAGTAACTCCTCTTCTTGGGAGCCCCTATACTTAAAGGGAGACAATGCACCTGCGAGTCTTGAGCTGCAGGAGTCCATGAGCGATAGTAGAAACCTTCCATCAGGTACCCTGTATGCTTGTTTGGCCTTATGGTATAACAAATGGAACTATACAACAGCTTTGAATAGAATATACATTAAGGTAAAACCTTGTGTGTAAAAAGTATATTAAAGCCACATTACTTTTTTGTCACCGACTGTAACCGTTTAATAACCCGCATAAAGTTTAGCGATAAGGAACGAAAGTTATTAATGGTCTATAAATTATTAATGTTTAAAACATTAATAATTTATAATAATTGAATATGATACTGACAGTAAATAATCTTACTAAGCATCTATGAAAATCTGTTTGTTTTTTTTTCGATAAAGGTACTTTTCCTGAAGGGATCGAATATAAAGAAATCAAACACACACAGAGAGGAGTTAATTAATTACTAAAATGTGTTTTTTTTTTTAAATAGTTCAAACATAAAGTGAATATTCTTGAGAATTTATACTTACTAATCCGTTTGCCGGTGGTTCCCCGTTACCAAAAGTTGATGCTACGATGATAAGTAAAGTTTCGTGCTCAATGGAGAAGAAATCGTATTCCGACATGCATTGTACCTGTTCCAAAACAAGTTTATTTACAATGTTGTCGTGATTTTTCAATGAAATATCAAGTCTACTATGATAATATTAAAAGTCAATCCAATATTTACACTTTATTATAATTATTTTAAGACCAAAAGCTAACTTTAATACTTGAGGAGTAGGTCAGCATTGGTAGTGTACTGATTAAAGTTCAAACTCTTATACTTCAAGTAATTACACTATGTTTAATCGATATATTCTTAAAATCAGATGATTTTTAAGCAAAGAAGTTAAAACGTGACATCTTAAGAAAACTCTCTAAACGAACTCGCACTTCTGCACAAAATAACATATTGGAAATTCAGAACTTACCTGTGTGTTAAAGGCATGGCCAAAAATGATTCCTAAATTTTTGGCATAGTGTTCAGATTTGCCTGTCTCACTAGCATACAAGATGGTCGCCCTAACTCGTTTAGATAGAGCTCTTGAAAATAGTTTAGCAGTAAATTTAACAGCTCGAGCAATCTGCCTGAAGTGGAACTTCCTTTTGACTTTTCGTGTTGTGTCTGTTTTTTTCCAGATGTAGCATTTCCAAGCCGGGTCCTGGAAAAATAAAAGTAAAATTTACAATAAACAAAAGTAAAGTTTTTTTTTTCATTTATAGGCACAAAAGTTATTGTTTTCTGTTTGTATTTAGAAAAAGATATTTAACTCTATGTCTTAGTTATACTTTAAATTAGATACATGTTTACTGAAGGATATTTTAATGAAATATATATACCTATACCTAAACGAAAAATGAGCAATTTGGAGTGCGGTTGCTCCATTTCATTCATACACATACAATATGTGTATGTGTGTGTGTATATACGTAAAGAGAATTCTTTATTTTTCAAACAAGAAATGGAGAGTATACATTTTTTCAAATACAACTAAGAAGAGAATAGAAAGATACTGATGGATAGTTATGATCATTAATAATATTGTCAGTCACGTTTCATTTCACAAACAACCTAAATCAATGCTATGATAAAGAAAACACTTCATTTAATATGATTGTAGGTATATTTAATGAGGAATTTACGGATAGTGTCAGATTACGTTAGAATTGATCCCGGCTCGATCGACCCTGAATAATTGCGAAACGGGGAGGAAGATGAGTAATGATCCGAAATAAATACCACAATCGGGCTCAATCATTCTTAACAAGACAACTACTCTTATAAAATGTATTATTAGTTGAGTGGTTAAGTAATTTATCAAATAAACCTGAAGTTAGTGACAATTATGATTAGTTTACAGTTTTTATTTTTTTATGTAGGTAGAAGTTTACAGCTTTTATTAAGATTTATTAAAATTTATGTTGTAATACAGTTAAATCACAGTTAAATATTAAAACAAATCGGGATGAACAACCTCACCTGGTACTCGTAAGAAGGTCTGAGAATGTAAAAAGCCATTTCTTGATGAAATACCGGTGTCAAGGATGATGACATCGGAGGGACGATCCAAATCCAATCTGCCGGACAGCCTCCTCTGAAAGACAACTTTAATTACATTTTTTTTTAAATTAACCTTAATGTTATTAAATGATTTCACTGTGTGGGGAACCAAGGAAAGTCGGCTATTAAGAAAACTGTCAAAAACACGAACTACATAAACTACTTAAATATGGAATCATATTAACTTATTTGGTATTAATCTGTAAAACTTTAGCAAAGACGGTAGACTAGAAAGTAAAAGTGATAAGAGTTTAATGTTCTGAGTTATAAATATATGTATGTGAGATGGTACACTTGTACAAAAGTTTATTTGAGTTAAAACATTTTTTTTTTAACCGATGATTTTGAAAAACATTTTTAACCAGCTCAAGATGAGCTCCTGGCCAGGCCCTCAGTGGTATAAAACTTGTAAAACATTATTTCCTGTTTAACTAAAACTACGGTGTTTTAGTTTCCAAAAAAAAATGTACTACCATAAAGAGGCAATATTTTTCAAAAACATTCAAATAACCAGCAATTTTTTTTTTTTTAAAAAGACTTTTTAATGTCAGAAATAAAAAATCTATGTTCAATATTAAAATAAGCAGTGGAAGTTATTTTAAAGTTGGTAGGTAAAACGTGCAACTTATTGTTAAATGTAGACTAGGATTAGGTTCTTACCGAGTTCTGTTTTCAGTTTTCAAGTGACTCATAAACGTTTCAGAAGCTGTGTGATGGTCGACAATAGTTACTCGGTCTCTGAGGAAACTGTGCACCACTGCTATGTTCATTTCCACCAGAGCTTTATCCTTCCAAAGAGGTGGTTTCGCGTCCGTATCTAACCCCATTTCTGTAGCTACTTTCTGTGAAACATTTTTTTTTTTCATATTTATAAAACTGCCCTATTGGTCTCGAGCGGTGACCGATCCTAACTGTTGTCAGATTCCAAACTAGGCAGAGCCTGTACTATGGGAACCAGACTGCTGATAAACATACTTATATATTTCTAAATACAAACATAGACCACCCAGAAATTATACCCAGTCACAAAAGAAATAATCGTGCTCATCACACAAATATTTGTGCTGGGTGAGAATCGAACCCACGACCTCCGATATAGCAGTCAGGGTCACAAACCACTAGACCAACGGTTTTATTTATATGTGCCGGTTGACGGTTATAAGTTTCCCTCTCTTACGTAAGTGGGTTTAAATTATTGTCTATGCCTTCGGGGATAAAGGTGGAAGCGTCTGTATATATGTATGTAATTGCCAAACGTTGACCTGTTCGAATATAAATAAGTTTGTGATTCATTAATTATTTTTACGGATAAGGTCTTTAGATTTTCACAATTTTTTTACTCCAGATTACAGAAAAACGTATGATAACTCTGAGGTCTATAAAGAACAGTAGATCTTTCATTATTGTGCATACACACTTACATTTGTCGGTGAAATATACAAGAGAATATGCTATTCAAGAACCGTGTTATGTTTTGCTCTTAGGATAAAACTGAACCCGGTCCACATAAGTTCAACTCGTATTTGGATGCTAATTTTCCTATGATTTTAAAATATCATATAACCATGGGCTACCAAATTTTGTCAATACACACTCACCTCTATCATATTAAATCTATTAATATCGCAGAAGGTTCTGCAAGCAATCTCAGTACTCATATACCAGCCATTGAAGGCAGTTGCTGTAAACTCCAAGCCTCCACAGTCCATTCTCATATTAGAGACCGCTGGCACAGCGTACCATTGGAGTCCCAGATCCTTGAACCAGTCGTACCTAAAGCAATCATGTACGGGTTAAAACCTAAATTTGGTGTTCTTTTAAACTGCACATTTTAGAATAATTTATATTATATTATGACAAAACAGTATGCATTAAGACGATATGCTCACGTATTAGAAACTATTCTCTTAAGCAACATAAATTGCCTGTTTATTGTTTTTTTTTAACTTTGGTCGACGTCACCAAAGTTTGAAATTAAGTGCCTGCGGTTTTTATTTATTATTGAAAACTGTGAAAAAACCTGATGTGTTTATTACGATTAGTTGTAGAAATTTTATACCTACCATACACTTACTCGTATATGATAACTACGTTGTAAAATTTAAACTTCGTATATTTTTTTTGTGTTCAATTTTGCCGATGTAATATAGTCTTTTACAATAATACTAGAAATTTATTTAAGTACCAGCTGTTTACAAAAAAAAACAAGAATATCAGCTTCTTGTGTTTGTACTTTTATTTAATTTTTATTTATTTATTAATAAGTACAACTACTTGTACCTAATTTTGACAATATGTGGCATTATACTTGATATGTATGACAATTACGGTGTACATAATACCATTTACTGAAATTTAGTTGTGTGACATGGTACAGTCAGTCATCTTACTTACTTCGGATGTTCCATTTTGACCTCCATGACAATCTCCCGAGGCAAATCAAAGAATTCTGGATCCTTGCCGTCAGCTGATAGCACCAGAGGCAATAAGTCCCACGCAGTGCCTGGTCCCTTCCACCCAAGTTTCTGACACACCTATAAATATATGAAGATCGATGAATCTGTGATGCAATTTTTTCATCGTCATGACCAGCCTTTAATAGTCTACTAGTGGACATAGGCCTCGTTTTAGGAATGAGGTTTTGGTCTACTATACCACACTGGCCAGACGGGTTGTGGGTGGGGTAGGATTTGTTTCAAGTTTTCCTTCTCTTTGCAATGCTGTTGTCCTATTGCTCCCTTAGTCGACTCTTACGATACCCACGGGATGAACAGGGGTGGTAACACTCCGGATTCGATTTGATGCATTTTTTTAATTGCTAGTTATTTATAATTAAAAAAGTAAATAAATAATTGTAGTGCATACCTCAGTGAATTCCACACGAGCAGGATCACCGATTATCGTGCCATCAGGCTGCCGGTAACCAGCGTAGCCTAGAAGCTGTGGATTCCATATTCTGTAGTCATGTTTGCCGTCGGTCCGTTGACGAAATATTGATATGGCGGAACTGTGAGGGAAAGAGATTTAAAAAAAATACTGTTTTCATTTAAAAGCGTTAACTTTTGAATTTATTGACCAATTCGTCAAAACTACCAATAGCCTACGACACTTAAATGTTATAGCCCCAAATTCCTACAATGCAGACATAAAATCCTACAAAGACTGCAAAAAGTACAACTTGTACAGTTTGTGTACTATAGTTAAACCGCCGCCGCCGTAAGCTTGGCCCTCCTGATGGTTTGGGGGACGCGGGGCGGGGGTGCATTCAACCAATTAGCTAGTGCGTCGCTGTCCGCCGGCACTGACTGACTTGAAAGCATGGCTGTACGTGTTATTTTTCTTAAGACTGCTACACACGGTATTATTTTGCAACATGGATAATTTGCCGACTCTGCGTCACAAAAAGATTTAAAAACTTGAAGTTCGGCTTACAGAGGTTCTACTGTTAAAGTTCTAATAAAGAATATTTGTGTCCGTGTGGTGACGGAATAAGAATACGTAATGTCACCACCCCTATTCATCCCGTGGGTGTCGTAAGAGCCGACTAAGGGACCAAACTACGCAGGACAACAGCACTGCAAAAGAGAAGGAAAACTTGAAACAAACCCTATACCAAACCCGTCTGGCCAGCGTGGTATAGTAGGCCAAAACCTCCTTTCTAAGGAGAGGCCTATGTCCAGCAGTGGACTGTTATAGGCTGTTGATGATGATGATGATGATGAAAGAATATTTATTATTTTACTTAATTTTTAAATTGTATCTGAATATAATTTACATGATGAAGATAAGGTGATTTTATTAAAATTATTTTACAGTATTAAATTTTACAATTAATTATAAAAACTTACAATACACTGAAATTATAATACATGGAAATAAATTCGATTTTTATTACATCGTGTGTAGATTAAATCTCAAACAAATAAATCTGAAGATATCGAGTTAGTACATCGTGTCATGTATAGCCGAGCGCATCACCCGCCCCGCGTCCCGCAAACCATCAGGAGGGCCAAGCTTATGGCGGTTTAACTATAACAATAGGCTTGTTGAATCAATTTGAAAACTTGGTTATTTATATACTTTAATATCTATTGTATCCCAAAAAACCTTTATTATAAGGAAAAAGCAATATTTACATTATGTATTTTCTATTTAAAAAAAAACAATTTAAATTTCCTTCGAAAACGCTGAATAGTGTCGTCTTGAACGACGTCACAGTCTGCGAAATAAAACTGTTTACATCTGTGTCCAGTGTCAACTGTTTTCAAAAAATGAAAAAGGAATAAGGAGTAATATGTTTTGAGTGGCGTGACCTAACACTTTTTGATTGGTGTTCGCTGTCACGTGACTATTTTGTACGGCTTTTTTTTAAATATTAATAATCTAACTTTTATGAGAAATAGATTGATTTTTTTATCTATGTCTCTTCATTTATAATTTGAATATATAAACCAAGTAATTAGTTATTAGTGGACACAAGCCTATTTTAATGTGAAATTTGTGATAGGACCTTTATCCCTGACACACAGTTTATTATACGGGGGTCAGAGTATACACAATTAATGTTATCGATTCGTTTTTTTTTTGGGAGTAAACGATTATTATTATTACGGAGTTATTGACCTGTTAAGACAAATGGGGATCTGATATAGGGATTTATACAGGTTTATACAAGTTTCTCTTAAGAGAAACTTGTATAAACCTTTTGAAATTTGTGATAGGACCTTTATCCCTGACACACAGTTTATTATACGGGGGTCAGAGTATACACAATTAATGTTATCGATTCGTTTTTTTTTTGGGAGTAAACGATTAATATTATTACGGAGTTATTGACCTGTTAAGACAAATGGGGATCTGATATAGGGATTTATACAGGTTTATACAAGTTTCTCTTAAGAAAAACTTGTGCTTGGGAAATCTAATGTTTCTTTTTTCTTTTACAGTTTCATTGCTACTTACTTAATATTTCCTTTATTTGTGCTGAATTTAATGTGTGTGCATAGAGCTTCGAACATTCCCGTAGCCGTCGTCACTTCTCTACAGTCGTAAATCTGTAAAATTACACTACATTAATTACTTATATCTACTAAAATATGCCACGAGGAAAAGTTAATCATTGTTATTTTTATCACTCGCTTATCATCTAATACTTAACAACATAAAAAAAATTAGTTTCATAACAAGCATATTACGTCCTTTTTCTATTAATTAGTTTTTTTTCTATTAATTATACCAAACTTATATTTTTTAACTCACTATGAAAGTGTACGATTTAAAATCGAATATTTTTTTTATTGTTATTTACGAAAGTACTTCTAAAAAGAATACAACGAAATTACGAAGATGGTAAACAAGATTTTAAAAGCTAAATGGTTTGAACTCGGTTCGTACGTTCGTACGTACCTACTACTTTGAATACCATTAACTTTTTACCTCTCTTTTTATCACAAAGAAAACTTAAAAGAAAACTGACTCGGAACTACTGTCTGTAAATCCTATGAATAACTACCTCATCTGAGAATTGAATGCAAACATAACATTCCACGAGATAGCGGTTGGCAAAGTTTATTTTTATTGTTTTTTTTGTGTTAGTTTAAATCATTTTACTACCCCGTTGGCCTAGCGGTTCGTGGTCCTGACTGCTAAGCCAGAGGTTGTGGGTTCGATTACAACCCAAGGCAAACAATTTTGTGATGAGCGCGATCATTTGATCTGTTTAGTGGTGTAATTTTTCTATAAATATGTATGTATGTAGAAAGATACAAGTATGTTTATCAGCAGTGTGGTTACTCTAGTACAAGCTCTGCTTGGATTGGGGAGACTGCGTAAGATGTGTGAAGTTATTATTATTATTCGTATCATGGACTCTATAGCACAAACTATGTTCAGTTTAACTGTAACAAGTTTAACGGTTTTTTTTTCATTATATTTAGCGAACGTTGATTGTACCAAACACCACCTTGTATCTACAGGGTGTGCACGCGTCTAATGACATTTAGTTTGTGGCTCGTTATAAAGTTGTAGGTAAGCTGTGCAACCCCAATTAAAAGTTCGTATATGTGACTTTGCGGCAGATTTGATGAAATTATTTCAAAAAGTCGTTGACACCCATGTTTTCTAATTTTGATTTCACTTTTACGCTAATAGGCGTTAAAGTGAAATCAAAAGTGCAAAAAAAACAATGTAGTAAAAATAGCTGCTGTATTCGTTACTTATAAGTAACGCATACAGCAGCAATTTTTCGGCTAATGAGGTTATGATCTAATTATGTTGTTTATAGTGGCACCTCCGTTACTGTACACGAACTCTAATAAATATTAAGTACCTGGATGACCGAGCTTTGCACGGTAGTTTTTTTTGGTAAATTTACTAAAAATAAATCCAAACTTGATCGATTAATCGCCCCCAAAACCCAGTAGTAGTATGCAGAATACTAAATTTCATGAAAATCGTTGGAGCCATTTTCGAGATTCAGATTATATATACAAGAATTGCTCGTTTAAAAGTATTAGATAGATAATGGTGCTAATTCTGTTGTTCGATAAATCTTTAAACTAAACTAAAAATCACTAAAAATCTGTTTAGTTCTGTCAATCAACGTTTCCTATTATGAAAACGTAAAAAATGACAGGACAATTTTTTTTATTAGTGATTTTTAGTTTAGTTTAGAGCGTTTTCGAACAACATGTACCACCAATGTAATTTTATTTAGAAGAATTAGCGATAGCTTACGATATTTCAGTCTGTGGTAATTACGACGAGGCTGGCTAACGCAAACTGTCGAAACGTCAGGTAATGAACAGGTTGTCATCAAGGTTGTCCTTTAATAGTGCACAAAAGAACAAAGGCCTTTCCTTAGGAAGGAGGTATCTACTTTGCTGATACCTAGAATGAGCGCGTTAATTCCCACAAATAGTTTAAAACTTAGAATATTAATAATATTTTTTCATTTTTTGATATATTACACACGGCTATCTAGACTAAACAGGCCTTGGACTATGGGTTCTAGAACATAAATAAACATACGTAAACAGTTTATGCAAATACACACGTTTTATACATAACTGCGCGACTATTGTAAATACACATAGGTATTCATGCATAAAAATAATTGATAGGCCTATTGATTTAATGGCAAGTGACCCTGACTACTGAACCAAAGGTCGTGGGTTCAATTCTCACCTTAGATGAATAACTCTGTGAGTGTGTTCTTCTGTCTCTGGGTATAAGTAAGTATTTACATTAATGTAAATGTATTTATCATCAGCAGTCTAATTGGAATGGTATAAACGAACAAATTTAGAGATCTATTTTTCCATCAGGCTGTGTGTAAGATATATAAAATTATTTTCATTATATTTGCACAGAGCAGGAATCATACCCTCGACCTCTTTTTATCGTTACGGTCTAATAAAATACCTTACTGCGTCGCTTCGTAGGACTTGAATAAATGTGTATCATCTTTGTTTTCATCTACACCATGTGTCAAGCGAGTATAACAAATCTCTATTTCAATAGTCAATAAAAAACCTACGATTTCCTTCACAATCTATAACAATATGAATATGACTAGCAAAATTTGTAGTTAGAAATTACCGATTCTTATAACAATGTACACTGGACGATAGCTGAATACCGGTCTGACATCATATTATCATAAAAAATTACTTCATATTTCTGTATCCATTCAAATCGAATTACAATTCATCAAAGATAACTTCAAAGATTCCACGCAGTCCGTTACGTTACTGAGTTTCACGGCAATGCATACAATTTCATTGCTCGTACGGAAACGACTGCTGGGCGTTAATATCACATAAAAGAGATTCGCGAAAACAAAAAAGTTTTTACAAAGTTTTTTTAATTGCTACTAAGAAATGACAATGGGTTTATTTAACAGTTTTCTTAAGTTTGCCTTTCGGATTATATTAATTTACAATTTGAAATCTATTTGGTGAGCCTTAATGACAGAATTGATGTTACTTCTTTTGATTAAAAATATCCGTCATGATAAACATCTAGTTATTTAATTTCCTTTAAAATTCAAGTTTTATTATAGCTATAGTAGAAGTTTAGCACCTCTCTCTCTAACCTCTACTAGATTAACAAAGATTTGGTTTACCACTTTGTGTCGTTCTATAAAAGAGGCGCAGAAATCTTTCTTAGTAAGCTGTTCATTTGTGGCATATGATCAGTCATATAAGAATAATTTCAGTTTGTTTAAATGCTTTAATTATAAGGTTGTTTAAGTCTCCATTCATTTATTGATGAGGTTTTATCCAACCAACCATCGAAATGTGATTCAAACTGTGTTATATTTACCCTACATTTTACATTAACCGTGGCCCGTGGTCAAGAACCAAATCTAATTTAGAAGCTTCCCGGAGCGGGTACCAGTTTTTCAACGTCTACCCGCAGTAGCAAAAAAGAATTTAGTAAATGGTTTTATACACGCAACGTTTATATCTAAATATGTGGCAGTAACTGGCGTAAGTGGACTAGACTGGCGTTTGTGATCAACTCAATAATTAAAAACGAATGTATTTCTTTAAAAGATTAACTACGTTCAGCTTTTTACAGAGTTAGTACATACTTACACTGCTTTATATGGACTAAGTGATCCTATATAATGGATTCTAGTTCTTGGAAAATCTACTTTTTAGGGAATTTGGTATTTTAAGGTAAAATGTATTTGTAAAAAATATTGCACGATACTTAGTATTTTCTGTGAGATTTATTTTCCGTGACATAGTTTGTTTTTGTAAAGAAGCTAAATGTTAGATATATGTATGTTAGATAATAGATAATATATGTATAATATACATACCTATATAATTGTCAAAATAGTCAGTAAATATTGTAAAAGAATAAAACCAATTAAATAAAAAATAAATAAAATACGTACATACGTACGAAGTTTTTTAACGCATAGGTGTTACAGTATTAGAAGACGCGATTAATTCACAGACTTATTGCTTTAAAAAACATTCATTGTGTTTTATTTCTACTAATAATACTAAGACGATAACTAGGTTTCTTTGGCAAAGAAATTGTTAGTAACGCATGTCTGTTTTAATTAATTGGGGTAACTACTGACCATTCGGAGTTCCTGTTTTCTGAATCTATTTTGTTCGTAATGTTAATTAAAGTAAACAAATGAAGAATATTCACCGTTAAATTTTTCCAAGTGGCTCTTCCAATGCATCTAGGTGCATTACGCCAAGCCAACTTAGCACCAAACGATAACTCGTTGCTTTTTAAATTGTAAGTGCCAGTTGAATCTAATTCTCTCTTGACTTCTGCTATTCTTGCTCGATGCCGTGGGGAGTTTTCACTGTAAATGTAAACAAATAATTGAAAAATTAAATTATTACATAGTATAAAGTTTTTATGAAGGTATTATAAAACATGGTTCTATTCAGACGCGATTGTGGGCATTTTCGGCACTTTTTTCCGCAGTACAGGACTTTTGGTTTAAGTCTTAATATACGATGTCACTGTTAGCCTCGATAAGAATTCGGCTTTAGGGGTTTTTTTATAGGTTAGGAAGGGTTATCCTCAGATTGAAGTCCAAAGTCCACTTAACAAGTTCAGTACATTAAATTCCACTAAAAGAGCATTAGCTGGCGCAATACCAAAAGTGCGATATTGTTATTTTTGGATGGTAACACAGAGTTAGCAACGCGTTACCGTTACCATATTGGTATACGTTTATAAGTTTACCATTTTGGTATAGCGTATCACAACAAGGAAATATTAAATAAATACAAATTATGTATATATTATGAAAGTAAAAAAAAAAATATTAAAACCAAAATATAATGAGAGAGAGAGAAAGTGTTAGACTTCTTATGATGAAGAAGAAACTTCACAGGACCTCCTTCACATATGACATCGTGTAAAGTTTCCAACGGGTAACTAGTTTTAAGCATATTACGCGCACTTGCTTTGGTAACCGCATTGAAGTGGGGCTGTGAACATTTTCTAAACTGATTATGTTCTTTTACCTGTGCATCGAGCGATAAAACTGTCTGAGGAAAATTTCTGCCTCTTTGAACACTTCCTCTGGAGGACGCGGTGTGTCGCCCCTTCCCGGAATGTTCATGATACTCGACTGGCAAACTTTCTCTGTACATGCTATCGGCTGAAACAATAGAGAAGTATTTAGAAAAAAAGCAATACATGTGTCAAATCTCTTTTAGCAGATATAACAAATAAATTAAAAAAATGTAAGCCACGTTAGACATTTAATAATATCATTTGTTTTTTTTTGTTGTTTTTTTATTCGGCATTTACTGTTTATGCGTGTTATATATATACTTAAGCATAGTGTTATATATACTTACCCTAAGGGGTAAGCAGATGTGGATTTAACTAAGCCTGTATTAACCAAGCAATTAATAGACCACTGATAGAGATAGCCCTCTTCTTTGAAAGGAAGTTTTGGCCTACGATACCACTCTAGCTACACGGGTTGGTATAGAGATTGTTTAAAGTTGTCCTTCTCTTTGCAGTGCTATTGTCGTGCTTCGATTGCTTCTTTAGTCGGTTCTTATGACACAGATGAAAAGGAGGCACTCCCCCTATTCATCTGTGTCACACTCCGCATTTCTAATCCGTCAACACACGGCCAAATAATGGGATTGAAATATGAAAAGAAAAGTAAATAAGCACTATTACTTACACTCCTCGAACAGGTCAGGGATCCCTCTGAACACAAACGCATGTTATACTGTTTACCGATTTACAAAAATCGTTTATAAAGAATCTTAAGTTAGTTTACCTTTGACTTTGGTTCCACATTCGTCTTGTTTCTTTTACTATGCTGTATATACCAACTATCGTTAAAGAGTTTATATCCACAAAATACTAAATGATCACGAGAAAGATCGCACCCTCTTACCTGAATAATTTTTCAACTCATCGTGATCATTAATCTCTTAATACATGATACTTATTTTGGGAGAAAGGCTGACGGTAATTAATGGTATATAATAGGCAATTATTTAATGTCTAATATGTGTGGGTGCACATTTGTAATTTAAGTAAAATACAAGAATAACAATATTCCAACTTCTTCTTTATTTTCATAAGTCTCTAGTGAATATCATAACTATTCTACAGTTTCAATGTATGATGAATGTAACCATTTTCAAAAAAACCACATCGATGTAGCTCGCAAATCAATAAAATAAAATTACGATTGGCTGCCGAGTTTACTTCTAATAAATGAACTATACCGTAGTTTATTCACACATAGTTAACAATTACGAATAGCAATTAATTTTAATATACCTATACTTGAAGTTTTAAGTAGTTACAGTAATTACTTAATAGCATGTGTCATAAAATAAATTCCTAATATATGTATGGACCACTCGATCGGAAATAAACCACGGCCTCACTGAAAACATTATTTCGACATTATTTCGTTGTTCTTCATCATTAAAAAATACAAATTGGGAACACGGATATTGTTACTCGTAACTAGTATTGCGGCAAAATAGTAACGTAATATCGAGTGTCGCTATCCCTATTCATCCCGTGGGTTTCGTAAGAGCCGACTAAGGAAGCAATCTACGGAGGACAACAGCACTGTAAAGAGAATAAAAACACACACAAATCATAAACGTTGTCCAGCAGTGAACTTTAAAGGCGGTTGATGAACCAGTATTGATAAAATTTACATAAATTATGTAACACGGATAAACTGGAATTTATTAAAATTTATTTCTTTACACAATTCTGCATGTCTATACAAATAAATAAAATTAAAGTGTCTGTTTGTAATGTCAAAAGATTAGGTTTTTTCCATACTCACACAGTTATTTACACGATACCTATGCCTAAAAACCAATTTAAATATTTGGTGTCTGTCTGTCTGTTTGTTCAGGGTAATCTTTAAAACGGTTTGACTGATTTTGAGAATATTTTACTATTAGGTAGCTATCTACAAAAAGAGTAACTTAGCCTAGGCTTTTTTATCTCAGAAAAACCCTATAAAATTTTGCACGGTCCAGGAATCGAAACCATTAAGGAAGCGCTTTTCAAATTCCACGCGAATGAACTACACTAGTAGTAGTTCATTATAAAATGCCCTAAAATTGACCGCGGTCTAATGAGCCATCATTCATCATCGTACGTTGGACTGTGGCAATTATAAACAATATTTCATTAAAATGTCCGTAATAATAGGCTGTCAAGATACTCGTATGATTTTGTTTTCTCAAGGTGAAGATGTAACATGATGAATAAAATGATGTTTTACACATATTCTGACAACACTCGACAGGTTGTCAAGCGATTGATATCGTAGACAATTTTTTTAAATACAAATAACACTTAGTAATGCTACTGTATTCCTTATTTTATAGTCAGTGCATTAATAATGTGGGACTGTGTCGACTGTGGGAGAACGATATGGAGTAATACCATAGCCTCAAGGTCACAAATGGCCACAAAGTTCTCGAGTGGCAGCCGCGTACTGGAAAACGCAGCGTGGGTAGGGTAGGCTGGTGGCACGAGGTGATCCGACGACCTGGTGAAGGCCGCAGAAATCACAGGACGGGTTGTTGTGACGAAACTTGGGGGAGGCTGAGATGATGATGAGATGACCATGGCCTCATACGAAACCGTTGTTTAGCTATTCTTTTGTAGTATTTCAACTAGTAAGTTAGTTCTGGAGGTCCAACCTCCCGGCGGCGACACTCAAAAACCGCCAACTTAGTTGTGATTTTATTAAGAGGTTTATGGGCGCCGGTAGTCACTTACTATCATGTGACTCGTGGGCTCAATTTCCCTCCATACCGTAAAAACACTGCATTCAAGGTTTTAGAAGAATCTACAGTTCTTGTCACAAGCTTGATTTCAAAATATTTCTGCCTTCAAATAACCTCGTCTTTCTATTGCTTCTCACTTGTGAAAGGTAAATTCTAAGTTACAATAAGTTTCGAATTGTAAACTACTAGAATTCTTTTCAAGCATTTCTTCAAAGTTTAAACGAAATTAGCATTGTATCTTAAATAATGTTTAGCAGTTTATTAACAAAAATAAATAAAATGACGTTCACACCAATAACGTTTTATAAGAACATGTAACTATTATACGAGATTGAGGAAAATATTAACTTTAATATTAGGACTAGAATTATAGCTACACCTTGTTCTTTCGAAGTTAAAGCATCAAAAGCAGTTATGAGCATAGTTTACAATACCACAATACATTTCCCTCACCTCATTACCTCATCACCGCAACTTACGTGACAGGTTCCACATATGAATAGAATAAGAATAGAATAAATTTATTTCAAAAAGGTATGTGAAACAATAACTTTTTCAGCGGCCACAGCACTAAGCTCGAGGCTTGTATCGCAGAGGCCAAAGATACATTTGTCATACAGTTTCACACTTCGGTTTCAGCTCAGCAGGTACAATAGATAACTACATCATTATATTATGTAGAATATAATAACTTATTTATTCTAAGACAAGATCAAAAGTCTTACGGATTGTAATGTTTATAAGGAATACAAATACATAACTTGATATATTTATTTCCTATATATATTTTCCATTATAATTCGTAGTAATATTGTAGCGTGTTGTTCATTATTTCATAATAAAGAATCACTTTATTGATTTCAAGGTTACCGCCCATTTTAGTTAACAACAAAATACTTATTAACACTTATTTAACATGTCTACACAAAATTCTCATAAAGTAGAAGTTGAAACATCATAACATTTTTTACATTATTTTGTTGTTTCAAACAATGTACCTTTAGTCAAAGATCTTAATAGTTGTCCTTCAGTTATCATTAAATTATTATCTGATTGTATTTTTCCGATAGTCGTGACTAATACGAAAAAACAATATTAGAAGGAAGATACGTTGTTATACATACTGCACGCACGACATATTCCGAATACTATACACAAATCTATTAATGTATTTTAGAACAAAACATACGCTACAAGTGCGATAGGAAATAGGGGAAAGCATAAGAGTGAAAGATACAGCTATTTATAATCAGTACAGCGACAGAAGGCATGTTATGAATCTTTTTGAAATAATTAGTACGTGCGCGCGCTTTTTGTGGTCCTAATTAGTTTTGTATCTACCTCTTGTATGCATTGTGCATAAATCAGATATTCCGTTTTTCGGTTAGAACGTCTTTCTTCGTCACAAATGGGCTGGAGTAATACCACCATAAAACACGTGTTAAGCATTTTTTTTTGTTTTTCCCCACATAAGTGAGCCCCCCTCTGCCATTTCAGAGGGGTTCAAAGTATGTCAGGAGACCCGTCACCTTGTTTATCCATCTATACAATAAAAAACACGATTTCACGACACTGTAACTTGTGATCCATCAACTGTAGCTTCACATATTTCTAAAAAATGGAAACAGATAGACAAAGGTGCAAATAGACGGATAACAAGGGAATCTGGTTTGTATGGCAATCTAAATATAAACCATTTCGTCTTTAGTATACAATTAGTCTAAACTAGGTATGCATCTTAATCTTAATATATTTATTTAATAATTCAAGCCGGATAGCTAATGTTTGAAAAAAAAAAAGATCTATTCAAATAATTATTCTTGGCCAAGTTTTCATTGTGTACCTCAGGTTCACTGGAAGTAATCATGGTGGTTTCCAATCAGTGATCTGTGCACCCGCTACATATATGTAAAAGGCGTATTACCAGTCATGTAGGTAACATAATGTTAACGCATACAATATGCAGTCTAACATTGTAAATATTGTAAATATTTCAATTGATTTTAATAAATAAATTCTATTAATAATTATGTTATCTTAATATTAAAAATAAATGGCAAATTGACATAGTCTAACATATGCTTTATGTAAGAATTGTATTTAAAACCAGGTTTACTATGATTGTAACTATAATTATGATAAAATGAAAAAATAATAGTAATAATTATATGATATTTTAATTGAACACACTGTAACGACTTTCCTGTATTTGTATAACAGTAAAAATTTGTATAATTTGTTAAATATTACAATTTTTGGTTTGGAAGCCCTTAAAAATCTTTCGTGTAATAACAGAATTCGTTTTTTGTCTATGACACGTGTTTCTCTAGTTATTTTTTAGTTTTATTGAATAATTTCGTTCAAAATATAAACTTTAGTTATTTTTGTTTAATGTTTGGTTGAATGTGGTGGTAATGGTCGTGAGTTGTGTTTATAACTGGATATTGTATTATGGTCTAAGAATGCTCGTAATTATTAAAAACTATTTTGTGTTACTTATGATAGCCGGTCACAAAAAATCTATGTCTCTAAGTAATACCAAAAGAGAATATTGAGCAGCATTCAATAATAGTAACAAATCGAAACAATCCGACTAATATAAACCCTATACTAATAAAAACCCTAAGAGTTCATCTATGTATAATATGTATGTATTTACAAAAAAAAAGTATATAAGTATTCTATCAGTCAATCTAGCTTCCATAGAAAAAGCTTTGCTTAGTTTGAAACTAGATGGCGGTGTGCGTCAGATGTCCGGCATATAAATATTTATGTTTATTTATTTATAATTTTGTAAACAGGAACCGAGACGACTTTCAACCCTTCTAAGATCTACGTTGCATTATTTTGTAGCTAGGACATCCAAATACGATTATCTATCATGAGTAATTGTTTTATTACTAACTTTAATATAGCAACATCTGTTTTTAACATATAGAGAAGCATT